GAGTGGTGGAAATCTGATCACTTGCTGCAGCCCTTTATCTAGCTTTTTGTTAAGCTTACGACTGAGTAACTCTCAGTATTAGTACTCAGTGTCCGAAGTCCTTGGTTACGTTGTCTTTGAGGACTAAAGTAAGGTATGAGGAGAACCATAAGGGTTGAGGGGGAAGAAGAGATGAGACCTGTGAAAACTTGATACAGTTGTTCTCCTGCACCAGTGCCACAAGGAAAAGCTGGCATAGAATACAGATAAATAAGTTTTGGTTATCTTCATAATGGAAGAAAACAATAAATAATTCAGAGTATCAATACTTGAAACATTTTGGCATCTAAACAGGGCCAAGGGAAGTAGGGAATGGTATTAGAATTTTTTGCAGAGGATTTCTTTCCCATGAGTTGAAATGGTATTGAAATAACTGTGTGTCTTGTGAGTCTTTAATATTTCAGAAATTTATGCAAATCTAGAGTGTGGCAGAACATTTTTGGATTTTATTTCCTCACTAATGAGTATTGGACAGGCAAGGTATAACACCTTTCCAGCTGTAAAACCCCCAGCTTCTTGCTTCCTGTGATTAAAGGGAAAATCTGATCGGGGCAGGCTTCTTGCCCCTGCCCTGGCTGTACACATCCAGTTCATTCATGGATGACTTGTCACTCAAAATGGCCCTCTCCCTGGCCGGGATGACAAAGCAGGATCCTTAGGGGAGAGGAACAATTAGGAAGGAAGACACAGCTGTAGCATGTGCTGGCTTAATACGTTTCTTCTGCTTTGAGAATGGAACCTAGAAAGTTATTTAAGTATACACAAGTAGTCTTTTTTTTCAGTAGTAGTTTCTTTGCAACAGTCAAATAAAGATGGAAGTACAGGGGGTGACACATTTGACTTCTTATTGCATACAAAACTGGTTAGATTTAATGGTTACTCAATTAGGCCTCATCCCAAAAGAAGAGAGTTACTGAGGTGTTTCCTTGTCATTTTGCCAGTATGGCACTAGTCTGTCTAAACTGGAGATTGCGTCAACCCCAGGCCAGTAGGGCCTCTTTACTTACAAAGTTCGTAACCCATCCATCCACTGAGATTGGCTTATATCTTCATAATGGCACCAATCAATTTAACATTTAGTGTCTCTGTTCCGACTGTGGGTTCTGAAGTTGAGGATCTTGCCTTCTGTGTTGTCCACTTACGTGGGTGCCGTTTGCTGTGAGCCATTAAACCTTTGAAGAGGGAGCTTTGCAAATGGTGTTATATCTTGTACCAAACTAAGTACGTTAAGTGTGGTAGTGGCTCAGAACTGCAGGGTTGTCCTGCAACCAGTGTCATAAATGTCCCATCCCAGAGTGGTGAGGGATTCAATACTAACTTTTCTGCTTTCAGGGAAGTGCCTTGTCTGTCTTAACCATAAACATGCAGATTTCTTAAAACAGGGAAATTCACTTTTTAAATGAAATACCCATTGTTTCTTACTGTTTGGATGGTTGAATGATTTGGTAGGGAAGCATGTAGGGAGATGAAACTCAAACTTTGAGTGTATGTTAATGGTGGTGAAGTGATTTGGAAAAGGATAGTGAGAATGGGTTGCAAAACTTGAAGACTGATAAATGTTGATGAATTGTGTATGAAGGGATTGTAGGGATTATTGGTGTATGTTTTGTGTATATTTTCACACAGTAAAACAAAAACTTCGGGTGCGTGTAACATGCCCAAAGTCTGACTCGGTTCTGAATAAAGCCTGCCATTCCCCACTGATCTTTATGCACTATTTTAGGCATTTTAGCATCTGGCCCAAGTCAGACTCACTGTTGGCTGGCAGAGCTAAGCTGTACTCCAGATGCTTTAAAATTAGAGGATAGAGGTAGGTGAAGGGGGAAGTATATGGGGGGTGCTACCCACTCCTTTTATCCTTGAGCTTCCTGAGTTAGCAAGTACTGTGGCATGGGGCTCAGGGGTGTTGGTTTTGTTGACTAAGCATAAGAAGGAATGCTGAGCTTTTTTACTCACACTTGGTGCTTCCGGAGTTAGGACACAAGTGCTGACTTAGAAGCTGTAAACATTTTACAACTTTTTATTCCTGTTGTCTTAATCTGTATCTGTTTCATCTGGTGCCTTATATATGCTCCCATGACAAGAAAGTTCATTCAGTTTGTGAATGGGGACCATTGAATTGGTGATAGTCTGGATGTTCAGGGAGTTTTGCTGATACTCTCTTCAGACAATTTGTTAAGGCCCAAATAAATGCAGACTGCTCAGTATTACCTGCTTGTCTTGGGTGGTTGGGTTTTTGATTGACTCCCTTTCTGGGCTGCAAAATGGCTACTGGAGAAGCTTGGGTGCTGCTTGATATCCCTGTATAGTGCAAAGTCTCTAAACCCCTTAGTGATTTCATCTATTCCTTTGTGTCCTCATCTTACTCTTACACGAAAAATGATTTCTGTGCTGACAAGAAAGGAAGACAGATATACTAATAGTCTGGGCTATTACCTGTGTATGGTTGAGAATTTGGGAGTCTTTTAGCAAAACCAGAAGAAATAATTGTTCAGTGGAATGAAAAGCAGCTAGTGAAGTCCATTATAGCTTTGACTTTGGTGCTTAAATGAGCTCAATTTACTAGATCGCATCCCCCTAGGGCCCTGCAACCCTAATTTCAAAGGTATCCCATGTAGAGCTTGTAGATTCCCTGGGTTTGCTTGGCTTATAGTGAGTTAAAGTAGAATTCTTTGTCAGCACATTAAGAAATTGAGATGCTGGGAACCCCAGGGTTGTGATTTCTCTAGGAAACGGCTTCTCTGGAAATGGTGCTGAGCTCTGGAACGTGTATCTTAGACCTGACCCCTGGACTGCCACAGCTTCACCAGTGCCTGTTACCACTGGTTTCAGCTGGCCCACGTTAATTCCTGTACTCCTGCCTGGCCTTGCCAGATACAACGTCTGAGATAGGTGGGGTGGCCAGTATTCCTCTGCAGTTGCATTTCAGTGTGCATTTTGAAGTTCCTTGGAATGTTGCATTTGCCCAGTGGTAACTGTCAGGAGGAAGGAAGCTTTTATCTGCCAGATATGCCAGAGTTAGAAGTCAAGGTTGTGATAAGATGAAGTGTCCATGACCTTGAAGCTTTTATCTTTGCAGAGAACTCATAAGTGAACATGTGAAAATTAAGCCAAATCAGCGAATATTTCATAGGAGTCATGAAGAGTTTATTTGGAAGGAAAAGTACTCAGGTTGAGATGTTAGGGGCCATTGTTTATAATTTGGGGGAAGTTCGGTGGCAGTACTTGAGGCTTCTCTCAGAAAAAAGCCATGCATTTTTAGTGAATATATCTAGTCTTTTTACACCTGAATGAACCAGTTGTTCTAATTTCAGGTTAAATTTGAGTCCTTGGTCCTGAACTTTTAAAGAACAGAAATTTATATTTTCACACTTCAGGAGGCTAGAAGTTAGAATTCAGGGCACTGGCTTTAGGAGAAAGCTCTCTGTCAGCTCTAGGGGAAAATCCTTGTCTCTTCAGTGTCTATAGCCCTGGTCTTCTTGGCTCCTTGACAGTCCTAACCTGACATCTGTGTCTGTGCTCACTTGTCTCTGTCTATGCTGCTCTTTTCATAACTCAGAAATAAGCTCGTTAACATAACAAAACCCTGTTTCCAAACAGGATCACATCTACAGAGGGTTAGGATTCCAGCACATATTTTGGGGGGACACAGTTTGATCCATAACACTTGATCATTAGCTTATGGTTTAAGAAGAGGAATAGGGATAGGGACCTGATATGTGGTCTCTCAGACGTTGTTTATGTCAGGTCTTCAGATAGACCACCAGTTTGTCTTCCTTAGGAATTAGGGTTTATGATTATGTTGTTGCTTTAACTTCAGCAGGAAAACTGTTCTAACAACTTTAAGACGAGTCCTTAAAGATGCTGCTACTGTTCTCTTTCTTTTAATCTTAAAGTTTTTGTTGTTGAGAATATATACAACAAAACAGACACAAATTCAACAGTTTCTGCATGTACAATTTAGTGACATTGATTACATTCTTTAAGTTGTGTGACCATTTTCCACCCTCCTTTTCTGAGTTCTTCCTCCCCAATTAACATAAGCTTACTGCCCCTTAAATTTCTTACCTAATCTTTCGAGTTGCCGTTTGTCAGTTGGATACCATATAGATCTTAAAAGAGCACAGTGCTCAAGGCAGAAATTCTTTCCTAGTTAAGCTTAACTATTGTTTGGTTTTAAGAAGACTTCAGGGGGTACTTTTGATTTAAGGTTTAAAAATTATCTCAGGTCGGTAGTTCTGAGGGTTCATCCAGCCTCTGTGGCTCTAGAAAGTCTGGATTCTTTTCGAACTTGGCTGCTGCTATTCCAAGAGAAATTTCAGACTGGCAGAAATGAAGCTGGATATTTTTTCCGCTGAATTTACAACCCACAAAATCAGTTATTTTTGCTTTCACAGCAGTCTTAACACTTTCCCCTCATGTGTAACCACAGTGGGATTCTGCTAACTGAGGCCTTTGCTAGTTTTATTGTTCACTTCTGTTGGATTTCTCAATGGTCCCTGAATAGATTTTTGAACTGCGTTTTTCTTAGCTCTTCACCCAAAATCTCACCCATGTGACTATTCCCTCCGAGTTTTCTTACATATATGGGGTCTGGTTAATGCCTGTTGACTAGTCTTTGTACCTTTGCATTTGAATAAGAAGCTCAAGAAGCCTGAGCTAGGCTGTCTTACAGCTAGCTCTTCAAGCATTTAGATAAATGTATTTCTCACGTTGGCATAAAACTTACATATGTACATGATCCTTGGAATCATACAGTTGCTTTGTTTGGAGTATAGGAGTACTTTGAACTCACCTAAGCATTCCCCACAACTTTGAATATATTTAGAGACATCTCAAAACAGTGACCTTATTCTAAAGATCTCTCTAGACTGCTTTTTAATTATGATCTCCTGTTTTTGGAAGGATACTTTTTAGGGCTAAATCGAATTTTAGACTAACACCAAAAAAATGTATTTCAGCTGAGATCTGTGTCTGTGGACCTGAATGTCGATCCCTCGCTTCAGATTGACATACCCGATGCGCTCAGTGAGAGAGATAAGGTCAAATTTACAGTGCACACAAAGGTAAGTGGCAGAGTGACTTCATTAATGAAAACGATGCTAGGTCACAGTGTCGTTACTCATTGTGAGTGTGAGCATAGACTCCCTTAACGGAAATGGTTGCTCCTTGTTTCTGTGTAGCTTTGCTGCTGTTAAAGTGAGAAATTGGGCACCCCCTCATCTTGGTTGTAGTTAACATCCAGAAATGCTGTTGTTTCAGCATTGCCCCTCAGTGGTGGCTCCCTAGAGCTTTTATATAGCTAATACTCTGCCATGAGGAAGCACACCTGGTACAGTGCTACAGCGGGAGCCAACCACCTGCCCAGCTCAGTGCGTTCTGCATTGTCAGCCTGCTTCCACCCCACCTGTTCCTTGTGATCCAGAGATTTTCCCTCCCAATTTTTAATTTGACTGAAGCAATATGACCAATCATGTAGAAAAAAACTGCAGTTTAATTTCTCAGAATCAGTCTTCAGGAACATTTTCAGGCTTTTCTCCCTCCGACTAGTTAAAATATAATGAAAGCTTTTATGCCAGCCACTCTTCTAAGGGCTTTACACTGCTGTTTTACAGGTGAGGAAACTGAGGCACAGGTTTACATAAAGTAAATGGCTGAGACAGGATTAGAATCCAAGCATTGTGATGCTGGAGCTTGTGGTTTATCCCCTGTCCAGTCCTAAAGTCCTTTCCTACACATTTTTCTCTTAATACCTCAGTGGCTTTATTCGCATGCCTTAGTTATTCAGGAAGCGATATGAAGATGGGCAATGTGATTCTCTGCCTGAGTTGACCTGATGAAAGGAGGTGGAATAAGCATTCACTGTGGTAAAAAGGAAGCCAAAGACAATTTCCAGAGCAATAGTGAACTGTAGCTAAGATTTTTTTAAACATTAATGTATGTCTCGTTTTGTTCAGCCTTTTAAAAAGAGAATTAGGGTTGTGATTTAACTTCCTGGAACTTTTTCTGCTACTGTTAGATTCTTACATCTTTCATTGGATGTTTCTTGCAAACTTCAGAAAGGACTTTTGTGAAAAGAGGTTATATCTTAGATGTGAGTTCTGTAGTCGTGGAGAGATTGGGTTGGGTTTTGCTGCCTGGTTCTTTACTGGATCTTACTGTGATGTTGTATTACGTATTATTTTCCCATAGTGCAACTCAGGAAACCCAAACCACTTTATCTAAAAGTGGTGGTTTCTTTCTTTACAGACCACACTGTCCACATTTCAGAGCCCAGAGTTTTCTGTTACGAGGCAACATGAAGACTTTGTGTGGCTACATGATACCCTTATTGAAACAACAGACTATGCTGGACTTATTGTAAGTACATTTTAGAAAGTCAAGTAATTTCTAAAGCTGGTTTCTTTTACTTTGCTATTTCTTTTGTTTAAAGAGACTTTTACCCACTTTTTATAGCGGATTGTGTAAACAGTTTGATTGCATCTGCTTACTATAGACTGTGCACCACTAATTCTCTTACTGGTAAATTCTAAAATATATGTGGAGAATGGTTTATAACTAAATATTCTATTGTGTTTTCAGTGAAGGTTTACACAGCAGTTTACGTTCCCATTCAGCAATTTCTACGCAAGTTATTCATTGGCGATGCGTGAACATTCTTACTGTTTCCGTTCTGGTTGTTCCATTTCCGCTAACCTAGTTTCCCTGCCCCCTTACATCCTCACCTTTGTTTTACAGTTGTTGACAATTTGGTCTCATGGGTAATTTTTAAAAGAGCACAGTACTTACGAGTGATACTTACTATTTTGTGAGCCAATCTGTTATTTAGGTGCAAGGTGACCTCAGGGATTAGTTTCAGTTCAAGGTTTGAAGAGTATTAGGGTTGTTCCTTGCGATCTAAAGAGTTTTTCTCCTGATTTTTAATTTAACCGAAGCAATATGCCCAATCATGTAGAAAACTACAGTTTTCTAGAGTGTTAGAGTTTAAGGTATTCTCTCAGGACAGTAGGTCTGGGATTTTTAATTTTTTTTTTAAGGAATTTGAGGTTCTGTTCCCCATTGTTCTCCCATTCTATCAGGGTCCATCTATTGTGGTCCTGATTGGAACAGATTGGTGGTAGCCGGGCACCATCTAGTTCTTCTGGTTTCAGTAGAGATGAGTCTGTGGTTCATGTAGACTATTTGTCCTGTAGACTAATTTTTTATTTGAGCCTTTGGTTTCCCTCTTGCTCCAGATGAGTGGAGACCAATAGTTGCATCTTAGATGGCCACTCGCAAGCTTTTTAGACCCCAGACACTACTCACTAAACTAGGATGTAGAACATAACTTTGTGAACTGTATTACTTCAGTTGACTGAGGTGTCCCATCTGTTGTCCTAATCCTTCAAACCCAGGAAACCAATCCCTTAGTGTATTTGATTATGTCTAAGAAGTATCTGTAACCAATATCCCTTATGTACTTTTTCGTATATGTGCATGTAGTCACTTAGATTCATATACGTGCATACACACACAGACCTATACGGAGCACTGGTTGAACAGTGGTTAGCCAAAAGGTTGCCAGTTCATATCCACCACCTGCTCCTTGGAAACCCTATGGGGCAGTTCTGCTCTGTCCTATAGGGTCACTGAGTTGGAATTAGCCCGATGGCAATGGGTTTGGTTGTGTGTGTTTTTTTTTTTTTTTTTTTTGATACATCTGTATGCCTGTATACATATATATACCTGCACATGCTTTTTTTGGTTGTTTTTGCTGTTTCAAAATTATATATGCCGTAGCATTACCAACAGGTCCTTTTTTCTCACATACTTTTTAGTGACATTGTTTACCTTCATCAAGCTGTGTACACTTCACCCTCATTTGGTGTTATCTTTCCCATCACTAAAAATACAAGTGTTTACTATCCAGAGAGTGAATTTCCTCTTCCCATCCCTGTCAGTCTTTGAATTTAATTCTTGGTTACAGGAACTAATTTTAAAGAAGAGTGAAATATATGACTTTTCTTGCCAAGATGACTGAAGAGTCTGCCTAAATGATGATTCTTAATAACTGGATGAAATTAATACTTATAAGCTTGTATTTAGAAATGTTCTGTTCACTTAAAACTAGAATCTTTTGATTATTCTCTGAAATTTTTTTAAAAAGTTTCGAGAATTTATAATCTTGATGACACTTCATTGGTTTTTAGCTTTGATTATTCTGGGTTTAAACTGAAACGTTGAAGCAGAATGAAAACTGTTATGCCCTACCAATTGGCTATAATGAGTAAACTGAAGAAGTACTTGTGTTCAGAGTGAGTGCCCAATTATGGGGGAGGCCACTTCGTTTTAATTAAATGAGAATTAATAGGATTAATAGAAAAACAGAAGTTGACTTTTAGACAGCCATGCTGAGTTGGCTGTCTTCTGGACACACCAACTAGAATGTTACTACCAGGCCAGGAATGCTCACGGTTCACCTGCCTTTGCTGCAGATTCCGCCCGCTCCTACAAAACCTGACTTTGACGGCCCTCGAGAGAAGATGCAGAAACTGGGAGAGGGTGAAGGGTCTATGACCAAAGAAGAATTTGCCAAAATGAAGCAAGAACTGGAAGCGTAAGTGGATTTTCTTAATGGGCTGCATCTTTTGAAAAGCGGAGAACCGTGGTTATGTGTACAGAAATAAGTAGAAGAACCTGACAGCTGGTTTTGTTTTTTTAAGTACAGCTGTTAATTAGTTGCCTAATGCTATTTTGCAGAATGTGGGACATTGTCTTTGTACTTTAAATGTTGATTCGCTGGGGGCCGTTGACACCGGCTAGGCTGTTTGTTTTCCCTGATGTAGACCAAACTTGTTAGGGAATGCTGATGTGGCATAGTGAAGAAATAAACTTCCATGTCTTTATAAATTTTTCATGTTACTGATAAATGTACAAACCTTTCTTCCCTGTAAAGTTTGGTTATTATAAGTGTAGGAGAAACTAAATTCCTGCAAGTGTTACAAAGAAGCAACTCTGAATAACCCTATTGATGGTTCCTAGTACTCATCAGTCTGTCATATTTGGAGGTTTGCATTAAGAAAACTGAAAAACGTGTACCAGATGTTCAGCTAGTGTTCTCTGTTCTCTGAAACAAACCAAACTTGAACTCTTAAATTGCCCATTACAACCCCACTGGAAGATGAGAAGGAAAATACTGTGTACCTTCCCTTTTCAAATCGTTGGCTCTAGATTCTGAATTTTTGAAAGTTTGAAACCACCCTTGCTCTTTGTTATTTTTGGCTCAAAAGCATCACACACCCCTGTCCCCCCATCAGTGTATTAGAGTTCGGGTGCCCATGTCAGCTGCTCTCCTCAGTGCTCTTCCCCGAGCCCATGTTATATAGGGCAGTGCACCCACACCTCCAGGTACTGAGTCATTCAGCACGCACTTGCGTGCCCTTGTGGCCAGGCTCTGGGGATCGAGCACTAAATGCAACAAACTAAACAGCATGTCCGGAGTTTAAAGCAATCTTTAATGTGTAGAGTGAGATTAAGTCATTTTATATAATTTCTGCTGACTCTCATGTTTATTAGACTCATGCTGGCTGTGGATTTAGAGGGCTTTCATTGTTTTAAAGAAAAAGAATGTTTCTTGCCAGGATCATGCTCTGGCTGCTAAATAAATAGCAGTGATTATGTGTAGGTTGAGGCTTCTCAAACTTGATCCATCAAATACAATTACAACATCACTTGACCCCTCCATCTCTGTTCATTCTGCAGATTCCAAAATGGCATTACTCTAGATAGAAAGTTATGCCAAAATGCCGTTTTGTCCCGTTCCAGTATTTTACTTAGTGGCATGAACAGGACAATAGAGTGAGCCGGGAGCAGTATTTGTCGGGGAGCTGAGTGACGCCAACTGAATGCCATCCGTCTTTTTCAGTGAATACCTTGCGGTCTTTAAGAAGACTGTATCCTCCCACGAAGTCTTTCTTCAGCGGCTTTCTTCTCACCCTGTTCTCAATAAAGATCGCAACTTTCATGTTTTCCTGGAATATGATCAAGATGTAAGGCATGTTTATTCTGTTTCTGTGGTCAGTTAAAATTTATAAGGCTATACAGCAGAAACATACTTGGAATACTTTGTGGGCTATTTTAAAATTCTGAATTTCTTATCAACACAATGGAAAGCTTGTTAGATATTGTCCCCCAAAAGATCCATTGTTCTAAGGCATTTTTATAAAACTGTTTAAAGAAAATTTTGATGTTTTTCCCCTTTTCTCAGTTAAGTTTCAGATCATTAGGAGGAACTTAAATTGATTTGGTTTGTTTTCTTCCTGACTGTTTTTTTTATTGAAATGAGACTTGTATGCTTTTTATTTTTTTTATAGGTTAAGTTTCTTGGTACTTTTTGTTTGAGACAAGCTTAACTCAGAAGTTTTCTCATTGTGTTCTAACCCAGTAGAATTGTCAGTAGTTCAACCACAGATTTAAAAGCCACTCAAAGTTTAGTGACTGGATAGTTTTTCGAAACATCTCTTAACGTTAAAATTTTACAACGAGGTGAACTGTTCAGGTTTGGTGGGTTATTAGGTTAAATAGTTTGGTGTGTATTAGAAGTATCTCATACATGGGCCTGTACTAGTAAAAAGTATTCCTTTGAAGGTATTCAGACACTTTTTAACGTGAACTTGAAAAAATAACGTGTACCATAAACTCTCCTTTTGGAATTCTTCCTTCAGCTAAGTGTTAGGCGGAAAAATACCAAAGAGATGTTTGGTGGCTTTTTCAAAAGTGTGGTGAAAAGTGCTGATGAAGTCCTTTTTTCTGGAGTTAAGGTAAGTGGCTTTAGCTGTTTTAGAAAATTTTTGACTTCCATGTGAATATATGTTGAAATGGTTGTGTTTTAGATATGTCGAGTTAAATAAAACAGTAATAATTTCACCTGCTTTTTATGATGTGTCTTCTAGAAACATTTTAAACAGCACACATGACTCACATTTCTGTTGGACATTGCTGTTCTACAACATGAAATTAATACACTAGTCTCATATTACCATCGTAGGTATGATTTATTCACTCCCCCCTCCCCCCTTAATTACTAGTGAGTACTCCGAGAATGTACTATGTCCTTGGCACAGTGTAAGGTGGGTGGCATTGCAGGGCGGCATGTGACATCCCTGGTCATTGCTTAACAGATGCCAGCATTGCCTCCCAGTTGGAGCCAGCCAAGTCCACCTACTCAACCCACATGCACACGTAACACACACAAGATGGATGTGTACAGCACAGGGTAGCAGACCTGCACCAGGCAGAGCTGTTGGTGTAGCAGTAGTGTTTCTGTATCCTGTAGAGGATGCCAGAACTTTACTGGGCATTGCCAGATTGTTCTCCCTGTTGACGTTGCCATCTGAATGATACAAGACTTCTGCAGCCCTTGGTGTGTGTTAGTCTGGGGTGTAAAATGGTATCTTACCCTTTTGCATTTCCCTGGTTTCTAGAGCCTATTTGTCATAAAGTTTATTGCACAAAATGCACATTCACATTCTTGGAACTTCTGGTTCTTAAATTTCTTTATTTTTCTCTTTCAGGAAGTAGATGACTTTTTTGAGCAAGAGAAGAATTTTCTTATTAATTATTATAATAGGATTAAGGATTCGTGTGCAAAAGCTGACAAAATGACCAGATCTCATAAAAGTAAATACCATTCACCTACTAGCTACTTACAGCTTTACTCGTGTGCCTGGCTTTGTTCATGTAAAAAGGGCTGCCCTTGTTTCTACAGATGTTGCAGATGATTATATCCACACGGCAGCCTGCTTGCATAGCCTGGCTTTAGAAGAGCCCACAGTCATCAAAAAGTAAGTTTTTATTGGGAAAACATTACCCCTAGCTCTTTAATTGCAGACCCCTGAGTGGTATAATTAAAAGAATAATCACTAATAGAGGAACCCTGCTGATACAGTGGTTGAGTGTCTGGCTGGCTGCTAACCAAAAGATGGGCAGTTCATACCCACCAGCCACTTTTTAGGTGCCATCAAGTTGGTTCTGACTCACAGTGACCCTGTGTACAACAGAATGAAACACTACCTGGTCCTTCGCCATCCTCACAATCGTTATACTTAAGCTCATTGTTGCAGTCACTGTGTCAGTCCATCTAATTGAAGGTCTTCCTCTTTTTCACTGATGATCTACTTTACCCTCTTAACAACATGTCCAAAGTATATGCTTGCCATCCTTGCTTCTAAGGAGCATTCTGGTTGTACTTCTTCCGAGACCAGCCACTATGAGGGAGAAAAAAACCGTGATCTACTCCCATAAAGATTAGAGCCTAGAAAACCCTGTGGGGCAGTTCTACTCTGTCCTAAAGGTCACTGTGAGTCAGAATTGACTTGATGGCACACAACAAATAATAACTATGTGGTTTCAGTTCTGCTCTAGAGTACGAGCTTATCAAGTACAGGCAATAGTCTGGCACTCAAATCTTAGATACCCTCAGTATGTAAGACTTAAGTTTGTAGATGACTTGTGCTCTCTATAAATGAAAAATTGCATAATCTATTACCCGCAATTTTTTTCCCCCCATCAAATTTAAGAGTCTCAATTTCTGCTTGAGTATTTTAATATGGGAGAGATTTTGGAGTCGTCTTTGTGCAGTTTGCCTTGTGTCTTCTGTGGCAAATGGTGCTTCCCATCTGCCCTGGTCATCCCCTAGACATTGTTGGGGAGATTTGGTTATGCTCAAGAGGAAGAAAATCTTTGAAAGAAAGTAGAACAACTTTGAAGTTCTTAATGACCTTCCCAGTCTCATCTTGAACTTTAAGTTTCTGACATTTTCTCTATCCTGGGCATTTCCTGTGGAGGTGTGGTGGTGCCTCATTAAAACCTGACCTTAGTTAACACAGCTCTGGCATTGGATGAGGCCATCTTTAGGCGCAGGTTCTGCGCAGCAGAATACCTGAAGGAACAGCATGGAAAGCTGGTGCCCCGTGTGTGGCAGTGCCGATGGACTGAAGTTTGCTACCATTTTCTGTACTAGTTTGGCCCAATTTCAGTGAAAGCAGTACTTTGCCTAAAGTAGCAAAGGTTATTAGGACTCACCAAGCTTATCTATTTGTGCCTTAGAGTATTGATTAAGATCATATTTCATAGATGATTTAAGACTTTAAAATATCTATTTTCAGGTACCTTTTAAAGGTTGCTGAGCTATTTGAGAAACTTAGGGTAAGGATTTTTGTGTTGTCTTCATAATAAATATTTTATCGTGTAGATTTTTGCTTCGACTGTGACCTTCACTTTTTTTAATAGAAAGTAGAGAACCGAGTCTCATCAGATGAAGACTTAAAGCTGACAGAGCTCCTCCGGTACTACATGCTCAACATAGAGGCTGCTAAGGTAAGAGGAGGGTTTGTTTAAATCATCAGACAGTGCAGGACCGTTCTGCCACGACCCAAAGAGGGCTAATGGTATCTTTTTTGTTCAGAAAGAAAGTTAATTTGTTATACTTTGAAAGACAGGCACTTAATAGAATTGTTTGTATAAATGACATGCTTTTTTTGTGATATCATTAAATCTTGTATTGCTGAGAACTCTGTAGGGGTGTTGCTGAATAGACAGATCATGGGTGTACCATAGGTTACCGGACATAGGACATAGGGAACCAAGCTCAGAGGACTATTTCTGAGGCAAAAAATAAGTTCTGCGTTTGTGAATTTTTATTGAGTTTCAGATACAGCTGTAGCATTTTATGAGCCATAAAACATCAAACTGTGCATTTTTGCCACGTAATGTCTCTAAATTTTCATGGAATTAAAAACTCACCATGAAAACTTAAGAATAGTATATATAGACATAATAGTGTATTGAACGCCATATATCTTTACCCAGCTTCAATCGTTTTGTCAATCTTAATAAATAGTTTTTTAAAACTCCATAAGACGTTTAATACATGTGTCATAACTACCCATTTTAGTGACTGAGATAATTTCTGCCTTCTTTGCTATATGGTTGCAAAGGATCTTTATTTCAGATTAGATCCTCAGGGTAGATTCCTAGAAGCAGAATTTGCAGGGTGGGATTATGTGAATGTTCCCTGCTACCTTGTTTCCCACATGCATTCTAGCAACATACCCCATTGACTCTCTCAGCAGTAAAGGCACATCTGTTTTGATAAACAGTGGTTGGTTTTCTGAAATTGCCTTCAGCTATTGAAATAAATGGAATCAATTAGAGAAAAGGTCCTTCTGTTTACACTCTGTTGGTTTAGTCTCCTGATCATATAAAGGATTCTGAAAAGGCTCTCAATAGTGCTGTTAGAGTTACTTGTCCCAGCCAACTCTTGATTCAGAAAAATTAATGGGTAGGGGAGAGAGTTGGATTAGATTCTTGCTGTATGACTATAACATTTCAGGCAGTAAATTGGAGAAGTGGATAATCAGTTTATTTTTTTTAGTAGCTTAGATATTTAGTACTCATGTTTTGGTCTCTGGAGATTTTCCAGGATAGATTAACTACCATGTCGTGCCTGTTAATTTTCTTCTCAGGATCTCTTATACAGACGCACCAAAGCCCTCATTGACTATGAGAACTCAAACAAAGCTTTGGATAAGGCCCGGTTAAAAAGCAGAGACGTCAAGTTGGCAGAGGCACACCAGCAGGAATGCTGCCAGAAATTTGAACAGCTTTCTGAATCTGCAAAAGAAGGTAGAGCAGGGATACTATTTTTTATTTGGAAATAATTTCAAGATGGCAGTTAGGAAAAGTTGCAAAAATAACACCATAGATCCTTTATTGGAGTTACCTAAGTGGCAAGACTTTGCCTCATTTGCTTTATCACACACACTTTTTCCTGCTAGAATAAGTCATTCTCTTACATACAGTACAGTTATCAACTTAGATAAACTTAACCTTGATATAGTACAATCTGTTGTCCATATTCTCATTTTCTTGCTTATCCCAATAATGTCCTTCAGTACAAGATCCAGGCTAGTTTTGTATTCAGGTGTCGTGTTTCCTTAGCCCCTTTTAATATGGAACAGTCTGATAGCCACCATCCCCCTTTTTTTTAAGTATGATCTTTTTTTAAAAAAAAGAATGTTGTTTGTTTTTGACTGGTCTGTTTCTCGTTATGCATTCCCTTCCCAGCCAGAATACTATATGAGTAGTGCCCTTCTTGCTGTATCACGTCAGAGAGCATAGTGTGTCCATCTTGCCCTCATCTGTAGTGTTAATTTTGATTGCTCAATCAAGAAGTTTGATTTTTCCATGGTAGAATTGCTGTTTTTCCCATGCCACTAATTAGCAGTCTGTAGGGAGACACTTGTTAGGTGCTGTCGAGTCAGTTCTGACCCATAGCAACTGTATGTACAGCAGAATGAAACACTGCCCAGTCCTGCAGCAGCCTCACAACATTGACTATGTTTGAGCCCATTGTTGTAGCCGCTGTGTCATTCTATCTCAGTGAGGGTCTTCCTCTTTTTTTGCTGACCCTCTAATTTACCAAGCATGATGTCCTTCTCTAGGGACTGGTCCCTACTGATAACATGTCCTGAGACACTTAAAAGACCATTAAAGTGTCTTTAAGTAACACTTAAAGACCAAATACTTATTCCTCATCAAATTTTTCCCCTAGATTTGGGGTTTAGCAATATTGATGATTCTTGCATGAACCAGTCTTTATGTGATGGTTGCAAAATGGTGACTCCTTCTCTCCCTTCCCTCCCCAACACCAGCTTTCCTTTCCCAAGTCAGCACTGTACTGTGAACAAGAGCCTCACATTCTCCCACATTTCTTTATTACACCTGGATTCCTCCCTCCCGTTTTTTTGTTATGCTTTAGAGTTCATTACAATCCTAAATTATTTTGGTGCTAAAATTGCCCAGGCTTTGCCAATGGGGACACCTTTAAGCTGGCATGTCCTTGTGACATGTTCCCTTTTTCTTTTTTTAAATTGTGCTTTAAGTGAAAGTTTGCAATTCAAGTTAGTCTCTCGTACAAAAATTTGTACATACGTTGTTATGTGACCCTAGTTGCTGTCGCTGTGCTGTGACAGCACACTCTTCCTTTCCACCCTGGATTTCCCATGCGCATTCAGCCCGCTCCTGACCCTCTGCCTTCTCATCTTGCCTCTGGACAGGAGCTGCCCATTTAGTCTCATGTTTCTACTTGAGCTAAGAAGCACACTCTTCGCGAGTATCATTTTATGTCTCACAGTCCAGTCTAATCTTTGTCTGAAGAGAAAGCAATGGTTTTAGTTTTGGGCCAACAGAGAGCCTGCGGGCCGTGTCTTCCGGGGGTTCCTCCAGTCTCAATCAAACCATTAAGTCTGGTCTTCTAAAGAATTTTGAGTTCTACACCCCACTTTTCTCCTCCATCAGGGACTCTTGGTTGTGTTCCCTGTCAGGGTGGTCATTGGTGGTAGCTGGGCACCATCTAGTTCTTCTCGTCCCAGGCTGAAGGATTCTCTGGTGTATGTGGCCCTTTCTGTCTCTTGGGGTAATACTTTCCTTGCGTCTTTGGTGTTCTTCATTCTCCCTTGCTCCAGGTGGGTTGGAACCAGTTGATACATCTTGTGTATTATCTAGTTAGCGACTACCCCTCTTCCCCTCTCCCCACCCTCATAACCATCAAAGAATGTTTTCTTCTGTGTTTAAACTTTCTCTTGAGTTCTTTTAATGGTAGTCTTATACAGTATTTGTCCTTTTGTGACTAAATTCACTCAGCATAATACCTTCCAGATTCCTCCATGTTGGAAGATGTTTCACGGCTTCATCGTTGTTCTTTATCGTTGCATAGTATTCCATTGTGTGAATATAGCATAATTTTGTTTATCCATTCGTCTGTTGATGGGTACCTAGCTTGTTTCCATCTTTTTGCTGTCGTGAACACTGCTGCAATGAACATGTGATGGCTCTTATTTCTCTAGGATATATTCCAAGGAGTGGGATTGCTGGATCGTATGGTATTTCTGTTTCTAGCTTTTTAAGGAAACACTAAATCGATTTCCAAAGCGGTTATACCATTTTACATTCCCACCAACAGTGTATAAGTGTTCCAGTCTCTCCACAACCTCTCCAACATTTATTATTTTGTGTTTTTTGGATTAATGCTAGCCTTGTTGGGGTGAGATGGTATCTCATTGTAGTTTTGATCTGCATTTCTCTAATGCATGCCCCTTGTTTTTTGGAGCAGTCAGATGTTTGATGCTCATCTCACACTTTGTCTACGCCAGCCCTGGAATTAGCCATTTTTTCAAAGAGCCCTGGTTGCTTTTACTACGAAGTAGTAACCAAGATCTGGGAGCTAGGTGTGGTCATTGCTCTTGGAGCCTGTTTACTTCTAGACCCTTTCAGTGGACAGAGCTAGTACATGCAGGGGTGTGTACACCTAAACATAACTACACACAGACACACACCTTTCAGACGTGAGTCTATGCTATAGTGACTCTATTCTAGTCCAATCCACAGGATTCTTTCATGTCTTCCCCATTTCAGAGGAGGGGGTGTTTTTTTAAATAAAGCCTAACTTTACTGGGAGATGGCTTGCCATTTCCATTGAACACAAATGTAATATGTAGTTTTTTTCTCAAGAGGACCTTCCTACCTTGGGGGTTCTCAGGGACTGTGTGCATAGAGCAAGCCAGAGCAAAAAGTTGAAATGTATCATCTAGAATGTGAATGTACTTATAGTGGGACACGGGACTTGCCATGCTCACTACCCACCTCACCCCCCCTCCCCCCATAATTCAGGTTTCCATGAGAAGTCTGTTTTCTTTTTAAGACTTCATTTTCTCAGAACTTTGAGTTTCCCTGTGGTTCAGAAATGCAGGCATATCTGGAAATGTTCTGATAATATTAGTGGTATGTTCCAGTAACATGGTTGATGCTGCTTGGCATGTCTGATAGACTTTCTGGGATTCTGATCCTTTGTCTTGCCTCATGTCTACTCAGGACTGTGATGCCATAACTCTGTAAGGCACAGAGCTTCTCTTTATATAAACTCTGCAGATACCGTGCAGACCTGCTCATGTGGCTCTGCCTTCTGAATTCTTTCAAAGGAACCTCCTTCTTGCTGCCCCCATCCTTGAAACAGTTCTTACCCCCCCCCCCTTTTTTCATTCAACAAATATTTGTTAAGCACTTACTATAAGCCAGGCTCTGTTTTAGACTGTGCTAAATAAGCTGGAGATTAAGCTCCTTCCCTTACGGATCTTATATTCGAGTAAGGGAAGATAGACAACTGACAGTCTGGAGCTCAGGAGAGAATCCCAGATTGGGATATTTCCCAGAAGAGAATATCTGATTGGATTGGTTTGTCACCTTGCAAAATGAAGGACCTCCATTGGGCAGAATCAGAGTTGTAACCTTCAATCATCATATTGGCTATATGGTTCTGAGAATTTTAGAGAGGATTAAAGAGAACCAAAAGCTTAACCCGCTGTCAAGTGTAGTCCTGTTTCTACTACCTGCTGTTTTTCCTTATGTTCTTGGTGTACCATACTCTGTAGTACTGGGATTGATTTGCTCTTAGGTCATGTTTCTCAGATTTGTAGGTAGCTCTGACAGTTGAACAGAAATGCCGCAAACGATGGTGTGTGCCACAAGGCAGAGAGCTTAATTTGACACGTTTATAGAAAGCGTTAGAGGGAGTAAGTACATATTCTTGGTTTACCTTAATTTCCAATAAGTTATTAGGTGTCGTCGAGTCAATTCCAATTCATAGTGACTCTATGTGACAGAGTAGAACTGCCCCATAGGGTTTCCTGGTCTATAATCTTCACAGGAGCAGATTGCTAGATTTTTCTTCCATGGAGCTGCTGGGCAGGTTCAAACCAGCCTTTCATTTATCAGCCGAGTGCTTAACATTGCACCACCAGGGCTTCCTTGCAGTGAGTTACTAATCCTGAATTCTGGTGGAGGCAACAGGAAAGGAAAAGCTAGGTGTAAAGGTGACAGGTCACATCTGTAGTACGGTTGATAAGGCTTTCAGTGACAAAATAATTATTTTTTGTCTAGTGTGATGTTAAGTTTGGCATTCTTGTACATATACATGAGAAAAATTAAGCAATTGTTATACATCATGAATTAGACATTTCTGTGTCCAATGTTTTTCTTGCCCAATAATGTCCTTTGCAGTTAAGAGCTTTGGTGTTGACTGCCTTTAAAAACAATCTGTGGGGAAAAAAAGCTGTTGGTGCAAGTGTGTCTGCCTGAAGGTGAAAATTGTTTAACTTCTGGTAAACTTGAATGCTTTTCTCTTCCTATAGAGCTGATTAGTTTCAAACGAAAGCGAGTGGCAGCATTTAGGAAGAATCTGATTGAAATGTCTGAACTGGAAATAAAGCATGCCAAGGTAAGTGTTTTCCTTAAAATTAAAGCCAACAACTTTTTTAAGGCTTTTGTTGTTGTGGGGGTGGTTTGTTGTTTTTTTTCCCAATTATTTCCCTGTTCACAGCGTCAGTGCTGTCGTGCAGATGGGGCTTTTTTTTCCTATGATTTCCCGGTTCACAGTGTTGGTGCTGTACGGATGGGGCTTTTTGTGTGCTCTTCTTCTTAGTATATGGGAGCTACTTACTGGCGTTTTGTGAGTTACTTGTGAGATGAATAGGTTGCTGGGTGGCACAAGCAGTTTGCACTGGGCTGCTGTCATAAAAGCTGGTGGTTCAAACCCACCCAGTAGTGCCAAGGAAAAAAACCCTGGCAGTCTGCTTCCATAAAGATTACAGTGCAGAAAATCCTACGGAGCGATTCTCCTCCACAGCACACGGGGTTGCCATGAGTTGGAATCAGCGCGACTGTAGCAGGTTTTGTAAGCTTAACAGGATTGTGTGTTTCTGCTACGGCTAACCAACTTCCCCGCACCCCCAACATCTTGAGAAAGTACTGATTTTGGATAGAGCAGGCTGTCTTGCCCCCCTACCAGAGGCCTTATGGGCCACACTCTGAACGTATTCAGCATACCATTGTAAGTTCTTCAATACCTTCAGTTTTCACAGAAAACTCTTTTAGAGGAAATTGTTTTCTGGTTTGCTAAGTGTCCTCTGATGTCAGTTCCTTCTTGATTTAGAAAGGAAAGCACACTTATTCTCCTGTTACATAGATTTAATATCTAACTTACTTTCGGCATAGAAGAGATGTAGAGCAGTGGTTGTCAGTGCTGGGTGCACGTTATAATCTACTAGGAGAGCTTTTGAAAAGAAAATTGGTGCCCAGTGCCATTATATCAGGATTTCTGGGGTGGCCGCCAGGCAATCAAAGCTAAGGCTGCCTGGGTGGTTCCGGTGCCCAGCTGAGATTGAACCCCTGTACTATAGGGCAGGCAACTGGGTCAGCCCAGAGACTGCAGTGGGAGGCTGCTGAGCCACGTTGGGAGGGAGTGTCATTGGCCACCAAATCTGGCATTGGTTAAAGCAAGAAAACAAACAACATTCTTAGGTATTTTGAAACCCTTTAACTACAACATTAAGAAAAAAAGTTGCTAAAGAATTGTCTTGTGGCAACCCCGTGTGGTCAGAGTAGAACTGTGCTCCATGAGGTTTTCAGTGGCTGATTTTTCACAAGTAGACTGCCAGATCTTTCTTCTGGGACACTTCTGGATAGACTTGGACTCTTATTTTGATTTAACAACTGAGCATATTAACTGTTCGTACCACCCAGGGTCTTTGACTACAACATGGATGGTTTATTCACTTGCCTCTTCATTAGGTCCAAACCCTGTTGTGAATGACATCTTAAATTGGAGTATCATGTTTGCATAAATCTCACCTGTAATGTTTGAATGTTAAAAGTTTTCTAACTTTCTTCAACATGGTAACTTGGACATCTATGAAACAATTTTTGCGGAATTTGCAACTATTTTTTAGCCATTTTTTGTCAGTCTTTCCAAGGCCTTCAGGTTCGTAGGGACAGCTCATTTATATAATGTTTAAGTTAGGAAGTTAGAGTAAGCATTCGGGAGCAAATAGGTGGTAGGGGCAGAAGTGCTAGAGAAGAGCCCACTAGCCCTTGAGCTTTGGACCTCTCCCAGGCAGCAGTCCCTGTCCCCCTGGAGGGAGATGAACTCTGCAGCATGGAATTGGGGTGGGCAGTTGTTCAGTAAGGATTTAATGAAGAAAAGCGCCAGCCCATTTTGGCTGACTTTGAATTTTCTTTTGTGAAAAGTTAAGTCAGTGGATTTGAGTTTAATTCTTACAGGTATATAGCATACCTTAGTCTCTAGAGAGATTTATTGGTCTACCTTGACTTCTGCTTTTCTTCCAGAATAATGTCTCCCTCTTGCAAAGCTGCATTGACTTGTTCAAGAACAACTGATCTGCCTTTATTCTGAGTGAAGTAAAGGAAACAGAACGAATGTGAAAGCCAGCATCACTTGCACTTAAATCATTAGCCACGGAAGATTTATTAGCTTTTGACTTTAGTTTAAAATGATGTGAATAAATATTTTGATTTCTAAAACTCGTAACACTTAACCATGTTCATTTAAAACTATTTTTATTGCATGTTACTTGGACATAACTAATCTTTTCCTTATGCATTTAATACCTCAAGTGGGCAGAATCTAAATACTAGGTTCTTCTGTAATTTGTCTTTAGTTATTAAGAAAGGATGTAGGAGACATGTGCCTTTTGGAAACAAGTATAAGAAATTGCCTGGCACATGTTTGTCTCACTATTTCGTGTATCCATGTCCCCACAAACAGAATATTTTAGGGTAGGAGTCAGTTAACAACAAACTGTTCAGCTGCTTGTTACAGGTAACAGACATTCCATTCCTTTATCAGGCGTTTTTTCTCCCTGTTGATCTCATGGTGCTTTAGCCATCTCCAGCGTTTGCACTGTGACAAGAGAAGACATCTCGTTTATCTTTACACACCCTTTGCAGCTCTGTTTTTGTAGTTGGGATATTAATATTGGGGGGGAGAGAAGTATCTAAGGGTATAGAAACAAGTATGTGGCCTGCTATAGAAAATGGCCAGATCTACATTAAGAACATGTGAGCCCCCTCCCTCACTGGTAGTAAGGGGTATATGAATGTTGGGCTTTTGTTTTTTATAAAATGTATAATAAAATAATCATGCTACCTTGTGGAGTGTTTTTGTGAAAACAAGGCTAGGGTGCACCCGAAGATTGGCAGCGGTGAGAGCATCAAACCAGAGCGAGGCCCTCCTTGGATATGGGGCACCCACGTTTGCAGTGGCTGTGCTGCTGTGTCCTCTCCATCGTGTGGGAGGCACTCACTCTGTCTCCCATTATTGGTTATGGTGGTGTCTGCTTGGTTTCTCCACTGGGAAGTTTACTTTCTACCTTTGTAATTAATAAGTAACTCATGGGAAGACACTTCTGCAAACGTGTTTTCACCCACTACTTCTAGCATCCGTTAATTCTTGCCTGAAATCAGTTGTAACTGGTTGCAACTGGTATGAGTTGCAAGATGGTGATACTTGAACACCATGGGGAGCATGTTTTCTTAACATTTAACTGCTACTGATGTGCATCCCCAGCCAGTTATAGCTAGCTAAAACTTAACTGTGGGCCAAACTCGGTAGGTTCTACTGTCTTCACGTTGTTAGGTGCTGTTGAATTGATTTCTACTCATAGAAACCCCATGTGACAGAACTGCCCCCTAGGGTTTTCTAGGCTGTAATCTTTATGAGAGCAGATCACCAGGTCTTTCTTCCACAGAGCTGATAGTTGGGTTTGAACAGTTAACCTTTCAGCAGTTGAATTCTTATCCGATGCACCACCAGGGCTCCTTGTCTTCACATTACAGATTGAGAAACCAGCTAAAGGCAGCTGTAACTGCTGCTTGTGCTCCTAACCAGCCTTTGTCCTGCCCTCTGTCCCACGTGCTGCCCACAGTAGCCCAGATAATCTGTGTGATTGGAATTAGCGCCTGTTGCCAGTAGTTGAGGTGCCTGGATCACAACTGGGTCAGTGTGGTATTTAGACCCCATTGAAGGAGCTCTGGCTATTGGCCTCAGCCTGATGCCTTTTTTCTTTGTTTTTTTAACTAGATCTGTTGCTGGTGTGTCATAGGCAGCTGGGTCTGAATCCTGGCTCTGCTACTTTTTAAGATGGCCTAAGGAGACTCCCACTCTGAACCAGCTATGTCTTCTGCACGCTGCAGTCAGTACCTTAAAGTCTAGGTGCCGCTGGGTTTAGATCTACAGTGTTCACAAGTACAGACTTGCATGTATGGCCTGATTCTAGATGTGCCCACCCTCGCATGATGGTTTTGCTTCAAGGCTAATTTTTAAGTATTTAGGTCTCTAACACTAACTCAAAAATACATGGAGGTCTGAGTGTTGGGGATGTTACTGGTCCTTCCCCTTTCCCATCCATGTCAGTCAACTACTGCCTCTGGAGTACTCGCCTAGTATGCCTTGAACTGGCTGGAGGCAGCAGCTTATGTCCCAAAATACCAAGGTGAGGCGGAATGTGAATGAATGCGAGTTGTGTCCTGCATGCTGAGAAGCCCGCGGGGCCAGATGGAAGGGAGACCTGAGCTGCCTGTGGGAAGCTGGAGCGGGGCGGGGGTTTTCCATGTGGGCCACAGCTGGGGGACAGCCATCAGACAGGTGGGAGCGTTCCAGGAGCCGAGCCCTGGTGTGCGCTGGTTAAGAACTCGGTGCTAACCAAAAGGTCGGCAGTTTCAATCCACCAGTTGCTCCTTGGAAACCCTATGGGGCAGTTCTGTCCTATAGAGTCCCTGAGAGTAAGCAGGCTGGCTGAGTTCAGACATTTTAAAATGTTTTGCTACAGCAGATAGGTGGAATGCAGGCCACGTCAAAATGATAAACTTGGGGAGAATCTGCAGCATTCTGAGTGACTTGACAGCTAGTGATCCTCCAGAAAAGCCCACCTGTGTGCTCAATTCCTTTGGAATCCATCCTGAGAGCTGGAATCCTAGGAAAAAATGGAGCAAATAGGAAGAAATTTTTAGGGAGAAGCTGATTTGCTGTGGTTACAGAGCTCAGAAAGTGGCATTGTAGCACACACAGCTGCATTTCATACATAATGCATTGAGAAGACGGCCTCTGGTCTGTAAAGCTTTTGTAGAAAAGTTGGGTCATGCCGTTACTGCCATTTACGGTGACAGCGCAAGTAGTGGGCCAGCCTGCCTCAGCGTGCATTCACGTGTTGCATCCCTATTTTTCTGGATCCGTTTCCTCAGTAACGTTTGCTGTGCCCGCTTTCTGGGGTTGCGGTCCGTTTGAGGTAATGCCCAGATCCAGCTCCGTGAAGGCTGGATTTCTATTTGGGAGGTGTTTTCAGCAGTAAGTGCGTGCCGTGCACAATCGGCCTTCCGCCTGTAGGGGGCAGTGGTGACCCGGCGCAGCCACCACAGCAGCTTGTGGGGCCCCTCCTCCTGGTGCAACTAGGGGAAGCCTGGCATTCCGCAGAGTTGCTGATTAGCAGGAAAGGAAATGTCACGCTATCCGAGATTTCAAGTAATTCCGGATGGTGTCTTCCCAGACCAGCAATCCCTTCCAGGATTTGCGGGGGCACCGGATTCCTGGTGACCCGAGACACAAACTCCTTTGCTTAGGCTGCTCAGTTTGTTCTGAGAACTTGCCTTCTGGGACTGGTGTCAAACAGCTGTGAGGTGGTGGGGATGCAGAGCTGGGCCATGTGACATGCTTGGAAGGGAGGGATGGAGGGAGGGTCACAGCTAGGCAGTGACTGTGATATGAGCTTCAGGCACAGCTGGAGACCTAAAGGCCCAGGGGACTTGATGCACCCTCTTACCCCCAACACTTAGACATGTGATTCCACTTGCCTGGGTGGCCAGACCTAAGTGGTGACTTACGGGAGGTTTGGTCTGTTGCCATTCAAGTACATTTGCTTTTTAATCTTTATTTTCAGTCATAAATGCAGTACATTTTAAATTGACTGCCATCAAGTCAATGTCCAACTCATATTGACCCTATAGGGAACTGCCCGCATAGGGTTTCCAAGGCTGTAAATCTTTACAGAATCCAACTGCCACATCTTTCTCCCGCAGAGCAGTTGGTGGGTTCAAACCATTCAACCCTTAAGTTAGCAGCTGAGTGCTTTAACCACTGTGCCACCAGGGATCCGTAAAGCAATACATACTTGTAAGGAATTCAAACAACACAAAAATGTATACTCTAGAGAGTAAAAGTCCTTTTTTTTCCCCCTACATCCCATAAATAATAGTCATTTGGTAAGTATATTTCCTGATTTGCTTCTATCCTTTGTGTATTTTACAGAAAACAATGCAGGATATCAGTGCGGGGTTAGTTTCTGGAAGCTCCCAGCTGATTAGTATCTTACCTCTCTCTGGGTAGTCTCCAGGATCCAGAGGCCAGAAAGCACCTTTGCCTCTCTCTCCCCTGCCCTGCTCCCACCAGGAAGAGGGCAGAACTCATGGAGATAAGCATGCTGGGAGGAGGCCTTGATCCTGAACCTCCCTCTTGCCCTCCAGTATCTCCCCTCCATCCGGCATCCCCCTCCCCTAAAGGCTTCATTAGCCAGAAGGTGGAATCTAGAGGACTTTGATTTTAATTAGTTCTTACTTTCTAATACATTCTTTACCAAACTCCATTTGAGCTTAAATGGTGGGTCAGCTAACATTCAGAACACCCAGGGAAAGAAGAACCCATAATCCCAGCCCACTGCTGTTTTTGTGTCTGACGGCTGCCTTCTAGCTCCTTCCCATGTGCACAGATTCATCCAGTGCACCCTCAGCCGAAGGAATGAAGCTTTTGTGGGCAGGATTGGGGGTATCAGTCAAAAGAGAGGGGTTCTCATGGTCTCAGGGAACATCTAGTTCAACTGGTATAACAGTTTATAAAGAAAATGTTCTACATCTGACTGGTGAGTAGCGTCTGGGGTCTTAAAAGCTTATGAGTGGCCATCTAAGATACTCCACTGGTCCCACCCTGTCTGGAGCAAGGGAGAATGAAGAAAAAAGACACAGGGAAAGATGAGTGCAAAGGACTAATGGACCACAACTACCACAGCCTCCACCAGACTGAGTCCAGTACAACTAGATGGTGCCCGGCTACCACCACTGACTGCTCTGACAGAGATCACAACAGAGGGTCCCGGACAGAGCTGGAGAAAAATGTAGAACAAAATTCTAACTCACAAAAAAAGACCAGACTTACTGGCCTGACGGAGACTGGAGAAACCCCAAGAGTAAGCCCCCGGACTCCTTTTTATCTCAGTAATGAAGTCACTTCTGAGGTTCACCCTTCAGCCAAAGATTAGACAGGCACATAAAGCAAGACTAAAGGGGTACACCAGCCCAGGGGCAAGGACAAGAAGGCAGGAAGGGACAGGAAAGCTGGTAACAGGGAACCCAAGGTCAT